GACTCTCTCCAGCAGCTCCCTGTCCTTCTTGAACTGAGGGGCCCAGAACTGGACACAATATTCCAGATGCGGCCTCACCAATGCAGAATAGAGGGGGAGGAGAACCTCTCTTGACCGACTAACCACACCCTTTCTAATGCACCCCAGGAGGCCATTGGCCTTCTTGGCTACTAGGGCACATTGCTGGCTCATGGTCATCCTGCTGTCTACCAGGACCCCCAGATCCCTTTCCCCTAACTTTGATGTACTTCATGAGGTTCCCCTACACCCAGTCTCCAGCCTGTCGAGTTCCCTGAGCTGCTCCACTCTCTGTGAGTCCTCCAGTAGAGTTAATGGTTGTACTCGATGATCTTACAGGCCTTCTCCAGCCAAAGTGATTTCATGATTCTATGATTCAGACGTTCTGCCAGACAGTCCTGTGAGCAGCAGCATGGAAATGGAGCAGGTTTGGTGGGTGTTAGAATAAATTCTGGTTTCATATCATTGAAAGCCACGTCCTGCTTGACTTCAGACTAAGCACTAAATTCTGTGTGGTCTTCACATCACTAGATCCACGAGGAGAATTGGAAGTGTTTTGTTAGAGCCATGGACAACACAAAGATATCTCAGGGCATTGCTTTGATTAAGGAATGAATTTTTGTATGGACCAGCCTAATTTATTCCTGCTTAAGACAGGAAGCTTTAGGCAGCTTTGGGTTGTTTTGGTTTTATTTTAAGGCTCTTCAAAATCATGTGCCAAGCACTGCAGTTGATAATCTCTAAGGAGTTTCACTTGCTCACACTGGGCTCCTGCGTGGTGATGACCGGTGCTGATCCAGGGGCCCATCAGGAGCTGGGACTTCAGCCCCTGGGGGTTTGGTTTCCAGGCTCACTCCATGGTGCTGCCTTGCTTGGCTTTGGGACCTGGAGAAACTCTTTGCTAAGCAGTGATCCCTTGGAGTTATTTTTGAATCCATCGCTGAACTGGTGGAAGCTGGCAGTGAGGCTCTCAGCTCTGCAGCACAGGGCTGCACCCCTGGCTGGGCTCAGCGATGGCTCCTTGGAGTTGAGAAGGACACTGGGAGGCTGCAGAGCTCCACTGATCTGGTGGTAGTGCCCGTGCTCCAGCGCTGGTGTTGGTGGGAGGACAATGGCTGTGGAGAACTAGATTATCTTCTTCATCAGCCAGGTCTCTGATGTTCCAGCCTGTTGTGTGGTTTAATGTTACAACCGGTCTGCTCTGAAAAATGAACCTTCAGAAGAGCCACTGTGAAACTCTCAGGTCATAGAGCCATAGGATCATTAAGATTGGAAAAAGCTTCTAAGATCATCAAGTCCAACCATCAACCCAATACTCCCAAGACCACTAAACCATGGCCCCGGGTGCCATGTCCACATGTTTTTTGCACCCCTCCAGGGCTGGGGACTCCAGCACCTCCTTGGGCAGCCTGGGCCAAGGCTCTGCCAGGAAAGAAATTCTGCCTCAGATCCAATGGAAACCTCCCCTGGGGCAACTTCAGCCCAGTGCCTCTTGTCCTGTCACTTGTTCCTTGGAAGAAAAGCCTGATTCCCACCTCACTCCAACCTCCTGTCTCAGGAGCTGTCAAGCAGAAGGAGGTCTCCCCTGAGCCTCCTTTGCTCCAGGCTCAACACCCCCAGGTCCCTCATCTGCTCCTCACAAGCCATGTTCCCCAGACCCCTCCCCGGTTTTGTTGCCCTTCTCTGGACCCGCTCCAGCTCCTCAAGGTCTTTCTTATCCTGTCATGCCCAAAACTGACCCCAGCCCTCAACTTGTGGCCTCCCCAGTGGTGAGTGCAGGGGCACAATCCCTGCCCTGTTCCTGCTGGACACACCAGTGCTCCTGAAGGCTCTTGCCTCGGTTTTGCAGAACTCCAGACCATCAACTGTGTCATAATGTACTCCCTGTTACTCTGCTTTTGCAGGCAAGCAACACAGCGTGTCCTAAAAAGCCATTAAAGATGCAGTGTAATTTAATAACCTCCTTTTAAAGCCATGTTATATATTGAATTATGATAGTGTGAAATGAGCTTTTCATGTCCTCTTGCCTCAGACGCTTTTCAGATCAGTCATTTATTTTCCAGGTGACTGCCTGTGAATAGCTAAAAGAGAAGCTTTCACTTCTGGGATTTAATATTTGTTGTGCCTCGTTGTTTTTGGTTTATTTTTAGGCCTTTTTTCAGCTGGGTTGTGAGTCATGGTTTGCTTCGGTTGCAGAGCCACCTGAGAGCCTGAACAATTAATGCTTTGCCTTTTTATTTTAAAGCACAAAGAAATGAAAATCCACTTTAAATGTGTCTGTCTTATCCTGCCAGTGTTCAAGATCGGTTATCAAGCTGTGGAAATAGCTTCAAATTTTTCAACACCTTTTACTGAGTAGGTTTTTTTCTCTCTAATCAAAATATCATTGTGCTTTTCCCAGCATTTTTCAGCTCCTCCTTCGGTGCAGAGCGTGTTTCCCTGCGGAGCTAGATCTGGCTGACCTCTATTTTAAATGTCAGGGGTGCTTCACCCTTCCCTTCCAGATCCCATTGGTGTTTTTTAACCCTTCCATAGGACCCTACTTGAAGCAACACTGTGTTAGAGAAGCCCTTGTGCAGCCTGAGCTGTACCATTACACAGCTGGAGTATATTTTAATTTTTATATGTGTTTATTGATTGTCTTTGATGTTCTCTCTGTTGTTGACACGCCTGGCTGGGTTGTGCTGTGTTTATAGAAGCTGTGAAGTTCTGTGTCCAAACTGGATGTTAGTAGAAAGCCTGAGGATCTTGTTGACCAAATGGATTTATAGAGCCTTCAAAATCCCTGTGTTATAAAATGTGGGTACTTGACTCGTGTGCTTCTCTCAAAACAGCGTCCCCGGGGTGAATCATTCCCTGTGGGTACATGTTGTACAGGGGCAAGCATTGGCATTTATCTGTTGTTGCTTTTCTTCATCAAATTGGGCTTGCCTTGTCTAACATTCCCCCAGGGCTCCCCAGGCATGTCCAGCAGAGTGTGGTTCATATTACTGTGACAATCTCATTCTACTCACAGAATACCACAGTAAAAGGACCTCTCTACCTCAGGAGCTCCTGGCTCTTGTCAGCTCTAAGTGCTCTTGGGGTGATGGTTTTGGTAGTGTGAAGACTCGTGTACATGGGTTGTATGAGGTATGGGAAGGTGTGGGGCCTTTGGGGACAGGATTGGGAGGAGTGGTTTTGGTACATGGAGCAGAACTCTTCCACAGTTGACTCCAGACAGACAGAACTGATGTAGACTGAATCACACGGAATCCCAGCACAGTGGGGTGGGAAGGGACCTCTGGAGATGATCTCCTGCAACCCCCCTGCTCCAGCAGGTCACCCACAGCAGGGTCCCCAGGATCACATCTGGGTGGGTTTGGAATCTCTCCAGAGCAGGAGACTCCACAACCTCTCTGGGCAGCCTGCTCCAGGCTCGGCCACCCTCACACCAAAGAAGCTTCTTCTCCTGTTCAGAAGGAACTTCATGACAGGGTAAGAGGAACTGGCCTCAAGTTGCTCCAGGGGAGGTTGAGGGTGGGCCTGAGGAACAACTTTTTGGCCTTGAGGGTTGTCCAGGGCTGTGCCAGGCTGCCCAGGGCAGTGGTGGAGTCCCCATCCCTGGAGGGGTTTCCAGGCTGTGGAGATGTGGTGGTGAGGGACATGGGTCAGTGGGGACCTGGCAGTGCTGGGGGACGGTTGGACTTCATGATCTTAAGGGTCTCTCCTAAACTCAGTGATGCTATTTGATCTATAATTCTGTGAATTCTTTTTCAGTGTCTGTACCACGTACTGTGTGTAAAATGCATTCCTTCTGAACTTTCAAGTAACTGGAAATATTTGGGTTTAACTCTCTGGGGTGTCCCAACAAAATTCTCAAGGACTTCTAAATAAAGTTAAAAATCTAAGTTTGGAGTGTAGGGACTGTGGCTGTTACAATGATGCAAGTGAGACTTGCCTTCAGAGGTAGCACTGAGTTATTTCTTTTCCCCAACCCCTTTAAATCCAGTGTTACACTAAGCAGGTGTCAAACCTGGCTGAGGTTTTCTCACAGAAACACCCGTCTTTATTTGACAGTTCATGATGAACTGGGACTTTGACTCTTGTAGCCACCTCACCAGTGATTAATGGAACTGTAAAACTAAACCCAAAACTTGTCTTTGCAAATGTCAGCTTTATTTTACTGTGCCTTTTCACAGACCTTTCCTGTTGATGGGCAGGAAGGAAATAACTGCTTTGAAGTGAGGATTTTTCTGTTTTCCAGCAGCACAGGTCAAGAATTAACTTGTGCTACGTGTGGTGGAAAAACCTCTTCTAAAGTGCACAGTCTTCACTTACAGGCATCGTGTAGCTGCGAGATGTAGCAGTGACAAGGCAAGCACGGCGTAGTGATGGCAGCTCCTGAGTCTGTTTTAAATCAGGAAAGCATATAAATAAGGATGATGATGTCCTCCAGGCTGAGAGAGTTGGTGTTGTCCAGCCTGGAGAACAGAAGACTCCAGGGAGACTTTCTTACGGCTTTCTAGTATCTGAGGGGGATCTACAAGAAGGCTGGGGAGGGACTTTTTACAAGGGCTTGCAGTGATAGGACGAGAGGTGAACTGAAAGAGGTGAGATTTTGATTATAAATTAGGAAGAAGTTCTTCACTATGAGGGTGGTGAGACACTGGCCCAGGTTCCCTGGGAAGCTGTGGATGCTCCATCCCTGGAGGTCTTCAAGACCAGGTTGGATGAGGCTCTGAGCAACGTGGTGTAGTGGGAGGTGTCCCTGCCCATGGCAGGGGGCTTGGAATTAGATCTTTAAAGTCTTTTACAACCCAAAGCTTTCTGTGAAAAGAGAATAGAGCACAAATGAGAGTTGGAACAAAGTCTAGGTTGACATTTAGAGGATAGAAAGAACTTATTGCACAGCAGAAGCAGGAATTCTTTAAAACCAACGAGCATATGGTTCAGGTCCTGATTGCAAGAACTAAATGAAGCCCTTAATCTTCTTTTTGCAGAACGAAAAAACGAAAGAGCAGATTGAAAGCTTGCTGCAGAGTGGGAAGCACAAGGAGCTGAGGGATCGCCTCTGCTGCAGGCTGACCTTCGGGACGGCCGGGCTGCGCTCGGCCATGGGAGCAGGGTTTTGCTACATCAATGACCTCACCGTGATCCAGTCAACACAGGTGAGCTGAAGGGCTGCACAGAGAGGGGTGGGTGGTTTCCCAGTACCTTTGGGTTACGTGTGGTACTGTGGAGATACAAGCTGTGGGTGAAACACAACAGCCAGTCGACAGTGGAGTGACAGCGTGGAGTGTTTGGTGCTGGAGGACAATGAATTAGCTGGAACAGGTTTAACTGGGTGTCCTGGGAAGTGGAATATACTATCATGGACTAGTTTGGGCTGGAAGGGACCTTTCAAGGTCATCCAGTCCAACCCCCTGCAGGGAGCAGGGACAGCTGCAACTAGAGCAGGTTGCTCAGAGCCCCGGCCAACCTCCCCTGGAATGGTTCCAGGGATGGGGCAGCGACCACCTCCTGGGGCAACCTGGGCCAGGGGCTCACCACCCTCAGTTAGAAACCTTTCTCCCTTTTCTCCAGTCTCAATCTCACTCTTACAGTTTCAAACCATTTCCCCTTGTCCTGTCCTAATAGGCCCTGTGAAAAAGTCCCTCCCCAGTTTTCTGACAGGCCCCTGGAAGTCCTGTCAGGCCCCCAGAAGGTCTCCCCAGCTGGAGCCTTCTCCTCTGCAGGCTGCCCAAGCCCAACTCTCTCCTGCTGGGCTCCCAGCAGAGGGGTTCCCCCCTCGGGGCATTGCTGGGGCTCCTCTGGCCCCGCTCCAGCAGGTCCCTGTCTCTGCTGTGCTGAGGACTCCAGAGCTGCCCCAGCACTGCAGGGGGGGTCTCCCCAGAGCAGGGCAGAGGGGCAGGATCCCCTCACTTCTGCTGGAGTTTGGCCTGTAGCTAAAGTCTATTATACTGCTCTGTAGCTGGAAATCATTTGCCATCATAAGAACTTTTGTATTTGTCATAAACTAAATAAAAAAAATAGCAGGAAATACCCAAAAGCCAATCCACCCCAACCAGCCAAACCTTTTCTTTCCTTTTTTAGCCAAAGCTGTGAATAACTATACAAAAATTGCAGGTTTTGCTAAGGAAATTAATGGGGAGGAAGATGAAGAAGCAAAGGTAGACTGACTGTGAAGAACATCTGTGTGGTAAATTGACTTGTGAGGAGTCCTTCCAGTAGCACTGGTTGTGTGACCTACAACTGGATTGGGTGGTTGATGAAAATCTTGTAGCTAAGTGCAGTGGCATTGCTCTAGCTCGTGACACTTTTTGATGTAGCTTTGTAAGAAAGTCATTTGAGATCCAGATTTAAATCTTCTGTTCCATGTTGTCTCTGAGGAGTCGATGATACATTCATAGTTTAGCTGTGATTTAATATTAGCTGATTTGGGTTCAAAATCTCACTACAGAATTATTTTCTCAGAAAACATTTTAAGCAGATGTTGATCTTTTTGAGGACTAGTTCTTTGAGTATTTTGGGGTGGACTTGTTGATTTGAATACAGACAGGGAAGTCCTGGAACTTAGACGTAGCTCTCGGTGACCATTTTGATAGTTGCATATTACTGTGGTTGGAAAGGCTCTGATGAGATGGGTGTGCATGTGGGGTCAGGGTTGGGCCAGCAAGACTTTAGTCCTAATTTCCTGCTCTTCTGCCAGAAATGAGGCTCCATTTGGTGGTGATGCTGGACATACATGCATTTAGAAGGGCACAAAAGCTGGTACGTGGACTTGTGGAGCTGGGTAGAAGCTGCCATGGAGTCATGAATGATACCAGTGTTGTGCTATGGCAGAGACTCCTCACTTCTGACAGATCTTTTCCTTGAACCATGTCTTGGGAGCATGGTTGATTAACAGCTATGGTTGATTTAATTGATTGATTAATCTGGTTGATTAATCTGGTTTATCAACAACCAGAAATACCATTTTCTGGACTTGTTTCTTCAATATCTTCTACCTACCTTTTTTCCTTTCTTGGTGTTGGTCTTGCATGCCAAAAGAGGTCTGGAAAATCATCAGGCCTTCTTCATTTCCTTCCTTGCTTCTCTTTGAAACAGTATGAATGAGTTGTATGTGTGCTGGTCGTCTGAATAAATTAACCTGCTAATTAATATAGGGCTTAATTATCTCTGCTTGCCTTTGAAGTGCTGTTTTTATCAAGGGCAGATGATTTATTCTCTCTCAAAGAACTTGGTCCCCAGTTGTCTCATTTCTTCCCTACCTTTTGTATAACACTTTTGGGAGGAACAGTTGATGTTGATTTAGGTTTTGATCAAAAGTGATCCATGCTCCTTTTCTATATTGCTGTCTCGTAGTAGATTTGTTCTTAAATTGACTTACTGTATGGTCCCAGGGGGTTTCCAGCTGATGTGTTCCTCTATCAATTTTTCCCCCAAATAAGTAGATTAAAGAATTACTTTTCACAACTAAACTTCATAAGAAATAAATTGAGGGTACATTTGAAATTGATCTGGTATTATCTGGACTTTGAACATGTGACAGAAGAGTCTGAATTTGACTTATCCAGGGTTGTAGTCCTGTTAATTGTCATTCCTGACTTTGATAGTCATGGAATCATAGAATCATTAAAGTTGGAAAAGATCTCTAAGGTGATCAAGTCCAACCACCAATCCAACACAGCCATGACCACTAAAACATGTCCTCAAGGGCCACATCCACACATTTTTTTGAACCCCTCCAGGGATGGGACTCCATCACCTCCCTGGGCATTGCCTTGTCCTATTGCTGGTTGGATGGGAGAAGAAATCAACCCCCACCTCACTCCAGCCTCCTTCCAGGGAGTTGTTAAGAGCCAGAAGATCTCCCCTGAACCTCCAGGCTCAACACACCCAGGTCCCTCAGCTGCTCCTCACAAGCCATTTTCCCCAGATCCCTCCCCAGCTTTGTTGCCCTTTTATGGATCTGCATCAGCCCCTCAAGGTCCTTCTTGGAGGGAGGGGCCTAAAACTGACCCCGGTCCTCAAACTGTGACCTTCCCAGTGCTAGGTTCAGGGTATGATCACTTCCCTGCTCCTGCTATTCAACCAGGTTTTGATCCAGGATGCTGGTGGCTTTCTTGGCCACCTGGGCACATGCTGGCCTGTATCCAGTCAGCTGTTGACCAACCCCCCAGGTCCTTTCCTGGCAGGCAGCTTTCCAGCCACTCTTGCCCAAGCCTGGAGTGTCACCTGTGAACAATCTGTCTGTTCCCACCTTTAGTCTTGACTACTGAAAAGAGAATGAACTGATGCATTTATAACAATTACACTTGGGACATCAATCAAATTATTTCCTTAAGACCAAGCCAATGAATCTCACCTACTTGGTCAAGTACTTTTTAATAAATGGACCTTCAGCCACATGATAGAAGGTTTCTCATTACCTCAGTTACAAAGGGTTGGTAACATCTCTCATTTAATCCTGGGTACTTAAACATTTTAAAAGTTATCTGCTTGCAGGTTAATGCTCTGATAGAGGCCCCTCAGAGGACATGACTGAAATAATTTGGGCTTTGTTGGCTCAGGGTGAAGTGATGTGGTTACAACCTGGAAAAGCCAGGACTTCATTAAGCTGTTTGACATACTGCTACTGTCTGATGTGTACAACTGGAGCCCAAACTCTTGTGGTGAAACCAAATTCCAGTGGCTGTTTACACAGGCTTTGAAAAGAAGTAACATATTGGAATGTGTTGGTAGAGATGAAACCCAGCTTTATATCTGACCATTTTTTCTCTTTAGTGTTATCTTGGCTCTAATGGAAAGCTTTGTTATGTTTTCTGACCTGTAAAGTGGATATATATTAAGATGTTGTTTCCTTTAGTTCTGGCCTTACTGATCGGAGCATGGCAAACTCTGCTACAAATCCTGTCATGGTACGAGCAAAACATACTGCTGTGGTACAGGTGGTCTCTGCTGACCTATTGGGAGTTGGCTGAAATTAAGGAAATAATAGTGTCAAAAATTGTGGTTTGTTGTGGTTTTAGTGGTGGAATTATTCCAGGAACTCTGCTACTCTGTACTCAGGACTGGGGAGACTGCCCCTAGAATCCTGGGGTCAGTTTTGGGACCCTCCCTCCCAGAAGGACCTTGAGGGGCAGGAGCGTGGCCAGAGAAGGGCAACAAAGCTGCTGGGGAAGGGTCTAGAGCCCAAGTGTGGTGAGGAGCAGCTGAGGGAGCTGGGGGTGCTGAGCCTGGAGCTGTGGAGGCTCAGGGGAGACCTTCTGGCTCTCCACAGCTCCCTGACAGGAGGCTGGAGCCAGGTGGGGGCTGGGCTCTTCTCCCAAGGAACAAGGGACAGGATAAGACGAACTGGCCTCAAGTTGCCCCAGGGGAGGCTGAGGTTGTCCCTGAGGAATAATTTGTTGCCCTTGAGGGTTGTGCAGGGCTGTGCCAGGCTGCCCAGGGCAGTGGTTGAGTCTCCATCCCTGGAGTGGTTTCCAAGCCATGGAGATGTGGTGGTGAGGGACATGGGTCAGTGGGGACCTGGCAGTGCTGGGGAATGGTTGGACTCCATGATCTTAGGGGTCTCACCCAACCTAAATGACCCTATGAGTCTACTCTTAAGAAATCTACTTCTCTTGGAAGCAGAGCAACCATCTGGATCCTGCCAGGGCAGTAAACAATAGTCACTTGACTTTTTGGGCTGTGCAGCCTGGTGCAGCTGGAGCCGCTCCCGCTCCGAGCGCCTGGCGGCTGGGAGCTGCCTGTGTGTGCCCAGCCCCGGGCAGCCGGGCTGAGCCTGGAGCCACGGGCTCTTGGCAGAAAATGAAACGGCTCCTTTCGCTCGGCAGGGAACGTGTTTGCAAGTTCACCTCCACAGGCATCACTGGTTTCTCAAAGTAACAAACTGGGCTCTATTCATTTGCTCCCTCTGTGGAGCTTCTATTTTTAGTTGTTTATTAAAGCCATATATCAAATTAGAAAAAACAGTCTCAGCAGAGCGGATTAGAACTTGTTCCTGAGGTAAACTCCATCCGATGTAATCTCTTTGTTGGATTACCCTTCTTTCAGAAGCTAAGGTCTTGAACAATTTTGCTGAATCTAATCAGAAAAGGAGCAGCCCTATCTCTCTCTCTTTGTCCTTGCCTGTTACAAGAATACATGGCCATTCAGAAAAGTA